CCTAGCAAGCTAGGCCAATATTCAAGTCCAGGAAATACAGAGAACACCACAAAGATATTCATCAAGAAGAGCAACCCCAAGGCACATAATTGTCATATTCACCAGGGTTGAAATAAAGGAAAACATGCTAAGGATAGCCAGAAAGAAAAGTCGGGTTACCCACAAAGGGAAGGCCATCAGATTCACAGTGGATCTCTTGGTAGAAATCCTACAAGCCAGAAGAGAGTGGGGGTCAACATTCAACATCCTTAAAGAAAAGAACTTTCAACCTAGAATTTCATTTCCAGCCAAACTAAGCTTCATAAGCGAAGGAGAAATAAAATCCTTTACGAACACGCAATTGCTCAGAGATTTAATCCCCACCAGGCCTGCCTTACAAGAGGTCCTGAAAGAAGCACTAAACATAGAAAGGAACAGCCAGTACCAGTCACTCCAAAAGCATACCAAATGGTAAAGTGCATAAACACTATGAAGAAACTGCATCAACTAACGGGCAAACCACCACCTAGTATCAAAATGGCAGGATCAAATTCACACATAAAAATACTAACCTTAAATGTAAATGGACTAAATGCCCCAATCAAAAGACACAGACTGGCAAACTGATTAAAAAGTCAAAACTCAACGGTGTGCTATATTCAGGAAGCCCATCTCACGTGCAAGGATACACATAGGCTCAAAATAAAGGGATGGAGGAAGATTTACCAAGCAAATAGCAGAAAAAAGCAAGAGTTGCAATCCTAGTCTCTGATAAAATACTTTAGACCAAAAAAGATAAAAAGAGACAAAGAAGGGCATTACGTAATGGTAAAAGGATCAATGTAACAGGAAAAGCTAACAATCCTAAATATATAGGCATCCAATACAGGAGCACTCAGATACATAAAGCAAGTTCTTAACAACCTGCAAAGAGACTTACACTCCCACACAATAATAGTGGGAGCCTTTAACACTCTGCTGTTAATAATAGACAGATCAACAAGACAGAAAATTAACAAGGATATCCAGGACTTGAACTCAGATCTGGACCAACCAAACCTAATAGACATTTACAAAACTCTCCATCCCAAAGCCACAGAATATACATTCTTCTCAGCACCACATCAAACCTGCTCTAAAACTGACCACATGATTGGAAGTATATCACTCCTCAGCAAATGCAAAAGAACAGAAATCATAACAGTCTCTCAGACCACAGTGCAATCAAATCAGAACTCAGGATTAAGAAACTAACTCAGAACCACACAACTTCATGGAAACTGAACAACTGGCTCTTGAATGTTTACTGGATAAACAATGAAATGAAGGCAGAAATAAAGATGTTCTTCAAAACCAACAAGAACAAAGACACAACGTACCAGAATCTCTGGGACACATTTAAAGCAATGTCTAGAGGAAAATTTATAGCAATAAATGCCCACATGAGAAGCAAGGAAAGATCTAAAATCGACACCCTATCATCAAAATTGAAAGAGCTAGAGGAGCAAGACCAAAAAAACTCAAAACCTAGCAGAAGACAAGAAATAACTAAGATCAGAGCAGAATTAAAGGAGATAGAGACACAAAAAACCCTTCAAAAAAATCAATAAATCCAGGAGCTATGTTTTTGAAAAGATCAACAAAATAGACAGACCACTAGCCAGATTAATAAAAAAGAAAAGAGGGAAGAATCAAATAGATGCAATAAAAAAACAAAGGGGATATCACCACCAATCACACAGAAACACAAACTACCAACAGAGATTACTAGAAACAACTCTATGCACATAAACCAGTAAACCTGAAAAAAATGGACAAATTGCTGGACACTTGCACCCTCCCAAGCCTAAACCAGGAAGAAATCAAAACCCTGAACAGACCAATAACAAAGGCTGAAGTTGAGGCAGCAATTAATAGCCTACCGACCAAAAAAAGCCCAGGTGCAGATGGGTTCACAGCTGAATTCTTTGAGACATACAAAGAGGAGCTGGTACCACTCCTTCTGAAACTATTCCAAACAATCCAAAAAAGAGGGATCCTTCCCAAATCATTTTATGAGACCAACATCATCCTGATACCAAAACTCGGCAGTGACTCAACAAGAAAACTTCAGCCCAATATCCATGATGAACACAGATGCAAAAATCTTCAATAAAATACTGGCAAACTGATTGCAACAGCACATCAAAAAGCTTATCCATCACAATCAAGTAGGCTTCATCCCAGGGATGCAAGGCTGGTTCAAAATACACAAATCTATAAACGAAATTCACCACATAAGCAGAACCAAAGACAAAAACTACATGATTATCTCAATAGATGCAGAGAAAGCCTTCAACAAAATTCAACAGCCCTTTATGCTAAAAACTCTCAAAAAACCTAGATATCGACGGAACATATCTCAAAATAATAAAAACTATTTACAACAAAACCACAGCCAGTATCATACTGAATGGGCAAAAACTGGAAGCATTCCCTTTGAAATCTGCCACTAGCAAGGACGCCCTCTCTCACCCCTACTATTCGATATAGTATTGGAAGTTCTAGCCAGAGCAATCAGGCATGAAAAAGAAATAAAGGGTATTCAATTAGGAAAGGAGGAAGTCAAATTGTCTCTATTTGCAGAAGACATGACTGTATATTTAGAAGACCCCATCATCTCTGCCCAAAATCTCCTGAAACTGATAAGCAACTTCAGCAAGGTCTCAGGAAACAAAATCAATATGCAAAAATCACAGGCATTCCTATACACCAATAACAGACTTAAAGAGAGCCAAATCAAGAATGAACTGCCATTCACAATTGCCACAAAGAAAATGAAATACCTAGGAATACAACTAACGAGGGATGTAAAGGGCCTCCTCAAGAAAAACTACAAACCACTGCTCAAGGAAATAAGAGAGGACACAAACAGATGGAAAAACATTCCATGCTCATGGTTAGGAAGAATCAATATTGTGAAAATGGCCATACTGCCCAAGGTAATTTATACATTCGATGCTATCCCCATCAAGCTACCTATGACCCTCTTCACAGAACTGGAAGAAACCACATTAAACTTCATATGGAACCAAAAGAGAGCCCACATAGCCAAGTCAATTCTAAGTAAAAGAACAAAGTTGGAGGCATCATGCTACCTGATTTCAAACTGTACTACAAGGCTACAGTAATCAAAACAGCATGGTACTGGTACCAAAACAGAGTTATAGACCAATGGTAGAGAACAGAGGCCTCGGAAGCAACACCACACATCTACAACCATCTGATCTTTGACAAACCTGACAAAAACAAGCAATGGGGAAAGGATTCCCTGTTTAATAAATGGTGTTGGGAAAACTGGCTAGCCATGTGCAGAAAGCAGAAACTGGATCCCTTCCTGACACCTTACACTAAAATTAACTTCAGATGGATTAAAGACTTAAACATGAGACCTAACACCATGAAAACCCTAGAAGAAAACATAGGCAAAACCATTTAGGACACAGGCAGAGACAAAGACTTCATGACTAAAACACCAAAAGCATTGGCAACAAAAGCCAAAATAGACAAACAGGATCTAATTAAACTCCAGAGCTGTTGTACAGCAAAAGAAACAATTATTAGAGCGAACCAGCTCTAATAACGGGAAAAAATTTTTGCAATCTACCCATCTGACCTAGGGCTAATACCCAGAATCTACAAAGAAAGAAAAGAGATTTACAATAAAAAAAAGCAAACGAACCCATTCAAAAGTGGGTGAAGGACATGAACAGACACTTTTCAAAAGAAGACATTTATGTGGTCAACAAACATATGAAAAAAAGCTCATCATCCCTGGTTATTAGAGAAATGCAAATCAAAACCACACTGAGATAACATCTCATGCCAGTTACAATGGCAATCATTAAAAAATCTGGAGACAACAGATGCTGGAGAGGATGTGGACAAATAGGAACACTTTTACACTGTTGGTGGGAGTGTAAATTAATTCAACCATTGTGGAAGACAGTGTGGCGATTCCTCAATGACCTAAAAATAGAAATCCCATTTGACCCAGCAATCCCATTACTGGGTATGTATCCAAAGGATTATAAATCGTTCTACTATAAGGACACATGCACACGAATGTTCATTGCAGCACTGTTTACAACAGCAAAGACCTGGAACCAACCCAAATGCCCATCAACGATAGACTGAACAAGGAAAATGCGGCACATATACACCATGGAATACTATGCAGCCATAAACAAAGATAAGTTCGTGTCCTTTGTAGGGACATGGATGAACCTGCAAACCATCAGTCTCAGCAAACTGACACAAGAACAGAAAATGAAACACCACATGTTCTCAATCATAGGCAGGTGTTGAACAATGAGAACACATGGACACAGGGAGGGGAGCATCACACACTGGGGTCTCTTGGGGGGTGTAGGGGAGGGATAGTTGGGGGTTAGGGAGTTGGGGAGGCATAAGATGGGGAGAAGTGCCAGATATAGGTTGCAGGGATGGAGGCGGCAAGCCACATTGCCATGCATGTACCTATGCAACAATCCTGCATGTTCTGCACGTGTACCCTAGAAACTAAAGTGCAATAAAATACGTATAAAAAAGGAGGTATAAAGTTTTTAAAAAAAAAAAGGCCACACTGCAACAGAGGGCTAATAAAATATGGAATTAAAAGCTCATTACTGACTAGTAATGATTGATCCCTCTTGCAAAAAAAAGATTACTGAAACTAATAATTTCATTATCATCTACAGAAAGCACTTCACTAAATAATTTAGCTTTAAAATTATACATAGATGTGTTCATAAAGATCATGAATGAAAAACAGATATATAAAATTTTTTAAATACAAAATAAAATTGTACATAGAGCTATATATGTTAAATAATTAGCAAAGTAAATCTAGTGTAAAGTAAGCACTTAACACGTTTTCTACTATTAGTAAAGGTAGTATTAATTACGACATTGAGTTCTCACTAAAAAACTATTATAAGACACTCTGTACAAACCCAATCAATTAGGAAGTTTGTACCTACCAAAGAGCATCCCTGCAAAAGGACTACAGATCTCTCGATTAGCTGATTTGGATGTTCCATTGACTGGAGCACTAAAGGAAAAAAAAGACAGAAAAAGAGTGAATTAAAATCCAGATAATTTTCAGGAAGCAACATTTTAGAGTAAAATGTTGGTATGAGTTACTAGCCTTTCAAAGTACTATGGACACTGTAATATTTACAAATTTTTAAGGTTAAGGTAAAATCATGTTATTCTGTCTCTTTATACAATGCAACTCCAATGTATTCAGGCTTAAAAAAAAATATTTTGACCAGGCATAGTTGCTCACACCTGTAATTCCAGCACTTTCGGAGGCTGAAGCAGACAGACTGCCTGAGGTCAAGATTTTGAAACCAGCCTGGCCAACCTGGTGAAACCCCATCTCTACTAAAAAATACAAATTAGCTAGGCATTATAGCTGAGGCCTTTAATCCCAGCTACTCAGGAGGCTGAGGCAGAAGAATTGCTTGAATTCGAGAAATGGAGGCTGCAATGAGCCAAGATCAAGCCATTGCATGCTACAGCCTGGGTGCCAAGAGTGAGACCCTGTCTCAAAAAAAAAAGAAAAAAAAGAAAAGAAAAGAAAAAAACAAAACCATTTTATTCAGCTTGCTTCATTGGCTCTATAGGTTCTCAAAATCTTTTTCAGCCTGGGAGCGGTGGCTCATGCCTGTAATCCCAATACTTTGGGAGTCTGAGGCAGGCAGATTGCTTGAGGTAGGAGTTCAAGACTAACCTGGCCAACACGGTGAAACCTCATCTCTACTAAACATACAGAAATTAACCAGGCATGGTGGTATGTCTCTGTAATCCCAGCTACTTGGGAGGCTAAGGCAGGAGAATCGCTTGAACCTAGGAGGCAGAGGTTGCAGTGAGCCAAGATCATGCCACTGCACTCCAGCCAGGGTGACAGAGTGAGACTACATCTCAAAAAAAAAAAAAGAAAAGAAAAGAAAAATCCTTTTCAATTTAAAAAACAACTACCCCAATTAAAAAAAAAAAAGTATAAATAAGGCTGGGTGCAGTGGCTCACGCCTGTAATCCAAGCACTTTGGCAGGCTAAGGTGACAGAATCACCTGAGGTCAGGAGTTCAAAACCACCCTGGCCAACATGGTGAAACCCCACCTCTACCAAAAATACCAAAAAAAAATTAGCCAGGTATGGTGGCACGCACCTCTAATCCCAGCTACTAGAGAGGCCGAGGCAGGAGAATCACTTGAAACTGAGAGGCAGAGGTTGCAGTGAGCCAAGATCACACCACTGCACTGCAGTCTGGGAGACAGAGTGAGACTGTGTCTCAAAAAGGAAAAGAAAGAAAAAGGAAAAAAAAAAGTACACATAAATAAATCCAAAAAAAAAAAAGAAGAGAAAGAGTGGCCTATGCACACACTTAGAAAAGATCATCCCTAAAAAAATCTTCCTGGCCAAGCACAGTGGCTCATGACTGTAATCTCAGCATGAGTTTGGGAGTTCAAGACTAGCCTGGACAACATAGTGAGATCCTGTCTCTACAAAAAAATTTTTTGAACAATCAGGCATAGTGGCACATGCCTGTAGTCCCAACTACTCCAGAGGCTATGGTGGGAGGGTCACTTGAGGCCGGAAGGTCAAAGTTGCAGTGAGCCATGATCATGTCACTGCACTCTAGCATGGGCAACAAAGCGAGACCCTGTCTCAAAATAAACAAAACAACAAAAAAAAAACCCTTCCTTGGAAAAGGAATTTTCCCCTTGGAAGAGGGGGAAAAAATTCCTCAAAGAAAACTTACTTAATTAGAACCAAATAACAAATTCTCTTATTGCAAGCAGTGTTCATAAATTACTTTTTTTTAAAAAAAGACACCTTTCTTGACATGACATTATCTTCACTGTATACTACAGATTCAAAACCATTTATTCTTATGTATGACATAAGAATATCACCAAAATGATTAAAAAAAACTATTAGAAAGATAACATAAATATAAAATACATATTAATTTCCTTTCCTTTCAACATGACAGAAACATATATGAACACTAATTTTACAAAGTAAGCATCAAAGTTACCTACTTGATAAACTGAAAATCAAAAATAAATTTTTGAAAGAAAAATTCACACTGCAGGAACATTTTAAATTTTTTTTTTTGAGATGGAATCTCACTCTGTCACCCAAGCTGGAGTGCAGTGGCACCATCTCAGCTCACCACGACCTCTGCCTCCCAGGTTCAAGTTATTCTCCTGCCTCAGCCTCCTGAGTGGCTGGGATTACAGGGTATGCCACTACAATTGGCTAATTTTTTAAATTTTCAGTAGACATCGGGTTTCACCATGTTGGCCAGGCTGGTCTTGAACTCCTGACCTCAAGTGATTCACCTGCAGTGGCCTCTCAAAATGCTGGGATTACAGGCATGAGCCACCATGCAGGCCACATTTTCTATTTATTTCCAGTCAAGCTGCATCACCATGACTCTAAGATATTTTAAGTTTTTAGTCCATTAAATTATAGTTATTTTTTATTATTTCAAACAAATTTACATACTTTGTAATGACAGGGATTTCAGAACATCCTGGCACCCTTTATAACCAAACATTTGTTCTTTAAATAATCCTGCAAAGTACTATCAATTTTCATTTAGTACTACCTCCTCATCCTTTCTTTGCCTTTAATTCACTTCTCACTAAGAAGAAAGGCTGTTAATTTACTATACCTTTCTACTTTTTCAACTAGCCAGTTTTAGGCATATTCTGTTTCACAATGTAATGACTAAACGGGAGAATTTATATTAATACTGTACCTTTTATTTTCAGCAGATGAAATTCTTACATTAGACTGTTCTATAACATTCCCATCATGTTCCATAGGACGCACATTCCCTCGTCTGTTCCTGTGCATCCTTAAAAACACATTAGCTTATAGAGCATGTTCCACATACAGTGGACTTTCTTATAACACTTTGGTGTTTTTACATTTGATGTTGGCAACATTAAATGGAACAAAGTGTTATAATGAAGTTTTACCATAAACACATTCTAAAATTAAATAGGATTTGTATGATCTGCTGGTTAATGAGACACTAAGAGTTTAAACATAATAATCTTTTCTAAAAGATTATAAATTATTTTAATATAATTTCTAGAAATTTTTATTTTTGAAACTACAAATATATACTAACACTTTTTCATTATTCACTTTAAAGTGAATACCCGGCAGGTGGGTATTCAGACACAGTCCCTGCATTCACAAAGTTTATAGTCAAAATTCAAAATGAGAACATTTTTAAAATCAAAATTCATAAAGCTTGTGAATTATTTCATTGTATATATATATATATATATATATATATATATATATAACCTTTTTAACTTAAAAATATAGCAGCAGTCTTATCAATAAGTTAAATCAAACATAGCAAACCATGACATTTGCTAACACTGTAAATCGCATTTAAAAAAAACGTTGGGCCGGGCACGGTAGCTCAAGCCTGTAATCCCAGCACTTTGGGAGGCCGAGGCGGGTGGATCACGAGGTCAAGAGATCGAGACCATCCTGGTCAACATGGTGAAACCCCGTCTCAACTAAAAATATAAAAAAAATCAGCTGGGCATGGTGGCGCGTGCCTGTAATCCCAGCTACTCAGGAGGCTGAGGTTGCAGTGAGCCGAGATCGCGCCATTGCACTCCAGCCTGGGTAACAAGAGCGAAACTCCGTCTCAAAAAAAAAAATGTTACTGACAGGTGAATGGAAAGCATGAACAGGTTGATCCATGGATAGAAAATGATTAGCTATCTCTACTTACAAAGTCATAAAAGAAAGATTAGCATGTTTCCTGTTTTCTTTAAAAATCTTTTTGGAAAATAATAATGAAAAAATGTTTTATAATCAATCTTTTTTCCATTTGGCAAACACTGATTTTATTTTTAGCTTAATTTCTCATACCAGAGAAACCAACATTTATCAGCATCCGTGAAAATCAGCATATCGTAAGCATTTCAAAGTTTCTCTACATGGCTGTTGAGTTACCCAACTATACGGTCTTTCTCAAGAGGACTATTACAAAGAAATATGGTTGTTAAAGTAGTATTCAGTATTTTAGGTGAATTTCATTATCAGATTACAAAAAATGGCAATTTTCAGGAAAAAAAAAGAAACTTCTCACTCTCCACAGAACCAACATATAAAATCCTTTCTTCACTTGTTTCCATCATATAAGCCACTGTCAATATCATCTGTGGAGAAAACACTATTTGGAATTGTAATCTTAGTAACCATGACATGGCATAACATATGAATGGCTTCCATTTTTCAATCGATCACATATCACACACACACATTCATCACACACACACATTTGGATGTGTGAATGACACATCAGTTTAGTGTCATTCCCTACATCTACCACTTAACAAACCTAAATACAAACTCAAATTCAAATTTGTAATTAACAATGCCAGGCAACCAGATTTAGTTATACTGGATATTTATATATAATGCAGAAAAGAGTTAACGGAGCAGGCCTGAAACTGCCTATCTTTAGAAAAGCCTGAATGTACAGTTGACTATTTGCTGGCACCTGGGAATATAGATTTTGGGAGAGATACAAACACTGCCAGAACTGATAAGAGCAGCTCATTGTGCTTAAACTCTTTGTATCAACTATAGTTTATGCTAACCACCTGCTTTTCTTTAGAAGTCTGCAATTCTGGCACATGCCATGCCAGGAACAGGGTGCCTATGTAACCATCTCCCAATAAAAATCCTGGGCACTGAGCGTCTAAAGAGCTTTCCTAGTAGACATTTCCTTATACTGTTACAATTCAATGCTGGAGAAATTAAGCAACTCCTGTATGACTCCACTGAGAAAGAACCCTTAGAAACTTATGACTGGTTTCCTCCAAACTTCGTTTCATGTGCCTTTTACCTTTTGCTGACTTTGCTTTGTATCCTTTCGCTGTAATAAGTTATAACTGTGAGTACAACTATATGCAAAGTCCTTATGGATCCTCCTAGCAAATCACCCAAACTAGAGGTTTTCGTGAGAATCCACAACACAACACAAAAACTAAATTCACTGATGTAGCAAAGAGGCATCTACATGAAAAAAATGTCTCTCTATATAGGTATTTTTTTGTTTTTGTTTTTTTTTTAATTTAACAGAGGCTAGGCACAGCGGTTCATGCCTGTAGTCCTAGCTATCGGGAGGCTAAAGTGGGATGACTGCTTGAGCCTGGAGGGCAGAGGTTTCAGTGAGCCAAGACTATACCACTGCACTCCAGCCTGGGCAACAGAGTAAGACCCTGTCTCAAAAAACAAAACAAAACAAAAGGCCAGGCATGGTGGCTCATGCCTGTAATCCCAACACTTTGGGAGGCCGAGGTGGGTAGATCACCTGAGGTCTGGAGTTCGAGACCAGCCTGGCCAACCTGGTGAAACCCCAACTCTACTAAAAATACAAAAATTAGCCAGGCGTGGTGGCAGGCGCCTGTAATCACAGCTACTCAGAGACTGAGGCAGGAGAATCGCTTGAACCCGGGAGGCAGAGGTTGCAGTAAGCTGAGATCATGCCATTGCACTCCAGCCTGGGCTACAAGAGCAAAACTATAACTCCAAAAACAAAAAGATTTTTTAAATAGAAATTTAAAATTACAAAGTCTTAAAAGCATAACTTGGGGTCCCAGAATTAAAGGCCAGTTATATATACAAAAGTTTTTTTCTAAAATTTACATAAAGCTTGTGGCTTCCTGAATTTTTAGTTGTCTGAAAATAATATTTAGATTAATAATTATAGCTTATCTTTCTACCACTGCACCCACACTAAAAAATGTTTTTCAGGCTCTTCAGTATATATAGATAATAAAGCAAACATCATAAACACAAGAGGTCATTTTCAAAGTTCATTCCAAATTAATTTAAGAAATTATTTTATTTATGTATAAAGTTAAGGTCTCTTTCCTAAAATCTATAGCAACATCAAAAGATTTCCTATTGAACAGCACATATGAAAGAAGTTATAAGGTATATCTTTCACTGAAGAAAAATAAAATCATTAACAAGATTATAAAAGTCTACTTTGTCGCCAATAATTATAGTAAGATCGAGACTGAAATTTAAAGAGGCTAAAAAAAAGCAGAAATAAGCATTTAACTAAAAAGATAATAAAATCTTAGGGATCCTATGCAATTTTATAAAATGACATGATTTGCTTATCTTTTTTAAGTCAAGGAAGAATTACTGTTTACAAACAGAGATTTTTTAATTTTTTTAAATTACCAATTTAAGACCTAAAAGAGGCGTCCCCAAACTATGGCCCGCGGGCCGCATGCGGCCCCCTGAGGCCATTTATCCGGCTCCCTGCCGCACTTCAGGAAGGGGCACCTCTTTCACTGGTGGTCAGTGAGAGGTGCACGGTATGTGGCGGCCCTCCAACGGTCTGAGGGACAGTGAACTGGCCCCCTGTGTAAAAAGTTTGGGGATGCCTGACCTAAAAAAAGAAACCCTGAAGGGAACTTAAGCTGAAAAGCCAAACTATAGGTTGGAAAGTTGGCCACCTTATTCTCTATTAAAGTATCCCTACGATTTTTATGGCAGTTCCTTCATTTACTAAAATGCCCTTTATATTTCTAATAAATTTAGCATTTAATCACTCTGAACTAGCTGTTAGTTCATTTAAACAGTTTAATTTTTTTTTTTTTTTTTTTTGAGATGGAGTCTTGCTCCGTCACCCAAGCTGGAATGCAGTAGCGCAAGCTTGGCTCACTGCAACCTCCACCTCCTGGGTTCAAGCAATTCTCTTGTCTCAGCCTCCTGGGTAGCTGGTATGATAGGCACCTGCCACCACACCCAGCTAATTTTTTGTATTTTTGGTAGAGACGGGTTTCACCTTGTTAGCCAGCATGGTGTTGATCTCCTGACCTCACTTGGCCTCCCAAAGTGCTGGAATTACAGGCATGAGCCACCGCACTCGGGCTTAAACAGCTTTTATGTTCTTACAACTCATTGTCGTAACATTTTCTGAACACAAAAAGTCCTCTCTGAAGAAAGCAACTGGTAAGAATCAGAGGTGTAACATGGCTGCCTCTCCATGCAATCACCTCAACTTATGGGAAACAGACAGATGATAATGTCCAAACATAATGCACTCACTAAATGCGTAAGAACCATTTAATTCTAATCAAAGTTGAGGGCCTCAGTTTAGGTTCAGTCTGTCCCTGGAAGCCCTTTCTGTTTCACTGTGAGAGGACCAGATTAAGACTATCCTTGTGATCCAGAAGTAATCTATCTAAATGCTCTCCCATCAGATTACTAACCAGGTCCAAGCCTACTTAGTTTCCAACATCAAACAAGATCAGGCATGTTCCAAGGTGGTATAGCCGTAGAAAATCCATCTAAATATTCTATGGCTTTTAATACATATGTTCACTTACCACACCTTAAGTATTGGGTTTTGTTAGAAAGGGACAGACCTCATAAAAGAGTTTACTTCCTTCAAAATGCATATCAGATAAGATTGAGGGAATAAAATAATTGCAAAATGGTTTCACCATCCTACTAACAAAAAAAAAGTGTTAAAACGAAAAAAATCTTTTTCTCCTTATTTCCTTGAAGACATGAGTCAACAACTCTAGTTGATCAGGTAAAAATTTTAAATCTTCATACCTAAAGAAACCAGGTATAAAGTAGAGGCTAAGTTTATCCTAAAATTAATACATGTTAATCTTTTAAAAAAAACAGAAGCTAAAGAAAAACTCTGAGACGTTAACTGTGGACCACCATTTTCAGCTTTGTTTTCAATTCTTTCCCAATTTTTGTATTTACTTTGGTAGCACTGTTTTTTATTTTCAACACCATCTACCCTGTACCTGGTTTCTTTGGGTATTAAGAAGTGAAACTTCTGAGGTGGGCGTGGTGGCTAACGCCTGTAATCCTAGCACTTTGGAAGGCCAAGGGGAGTGGATCGCAAAATAAAGAGATCAAGACCATCCTGGTCAACATGATAAAACCCCATCTCTACTAAAAACACAAAAATTAGCCAGGCATGGCAGCATGCACCTCTAGTCCCAGCTACCAGAGATGCTGAGGCAGGAGAATTGCTTGAAACCAGGAGGCGGAGCCTACAGTGAGCTGAGATCTTGCCACTGCACTCCAGCCTGGGCAAGAGAGCAAGACTCTGTCTGAAAAAAAAAAAAAGGAGTAAAACTTCTTTTGCTCATTAACATTGGTTAATGTAAAAGATAATAAAGTAAAATACTAACCTCTAAAGTTCAAGTTAATAAATAATAAAGACTAGGATTACATTTTAATAGAGCCTATAAATTTCAAAGTATCATAGAAAATGATATTACATTCGACTTTAGAAAGCTCCTAAAACATAATAAATTTTACTTAAATTGGTTAATATGCATAAATAAAACACACACACAGAATGCAACTGTCAATTACAGTGTTAACCACCTTGTTAATTATTTAAGAACACTGTCAATGATTCATGATACAACTTTAGGAAGGTAACATCATTTTCTGAGAAAAGTTTTAGCTTTCCCATATTTAAATATGGGGAAATATTTCATTAATAAATATATTATGATATATGAAAAAGTTTATAGGGTGGAGAAAAATTGAAACCAAAAATAAAAAACTATTATAAACCAAAACTAGAATTTACCAGATGCTTTTAAGGAAGAAATAAAACTTAGAAGAATGAAGGAAAATTAACTGTGCACTTCTCATAATACATTTTAATTAATTTTTGTCAAAAACTTCTGATCAAGACTGCACAGTACAGTAAGAATAAATGCTTGGAGTAAGAGAGAAAACTCAGTTCCACATTTCTTTAGCCTCAAAACTTTCACAAATACAGTCATTTATCCAACCAACCAGTCTGACTATTTATAAACTACTGAATGACTAAAGTTTTTTTATTTTGGTTTGGAAATAAGGGATCTATAAATCTGAAAAAAAGAAATCCAATTTTAACTTTAACTGTTAAAGAGATACATATGAAAAAACATTTGGAGATGTCAGAGTTGATATATAAACAAAATAAAAATATACAAAATATAATTTACATATTGAAGAAACACTTTAAAGTGTTTAACAAGAATTATTCTCACTCAACCTCATATTTATTCTTAAAATAGTATTTGGGAAAGCTTATATAGAAAGAGTTCATTTTATTTATGGGATACATAAAAGATAAGAGTTCTCAAATAGGATGAAATTCATTTGTCAGTTCATGCATAAAATTATCACAGGGTATAATTATAAAAGTAATAGATTTAAAAAAAAATTTTTAAAGCAGCAACCATTATAATTTGTTTCTTAAAATTCCAAACTTAAAAGGGTATGCATTACGTTCACCATAAAGGTAAACAAACACCATAAAGGGAAAAGAAGTTCTCGTGCAGAAATGAGACATCACCACCAATCCTGCAAGATTACTTGCAACTAAGTTCCCCAACTGAGAGTTATTTTAGTTTAGGCATCCTTTAACTACCTTCATATGTAAGCATTTTCAATGTAACATTCTAGGATTTGGAGAATTTTCTGAAGTATAAAAAATTAAGATTCAGATCAGAGAAACTGTAATTGGCATTTTCAAATTCTAATCCTCGAAATTACCTAAATCAGGGTAAATATTAAAAATATTTTGTGAGCAGGATATAACAGCTACAGAATATAGAAGACAAAGAACTGTAAAAGCTTTGTATTGTAATTAATAATTAGAATCCTGAATGTACAGTATTACCCTTGAAAAAATTCTCTAAAATACTTAAAAAGTAATCTATTTTGACTAATAAATAAAGCAGGTCCCATAAACTGCTCAAAATGTAGGTTTAGCCGGACACGGTGGCTCAAGCCTGTAATCCCAGCACCTTGGGAGGCCGAGGCGGGTGGATCACGAGGTCGAGAGATCGAGACCATCCTGGTCAACATGGTGAAACCCCGTCTCTACTAAAAATACAAAAAATTAGCTGGGCATGGTGGCAACGTGCCTGTAATCCCAGCTACTCAGGAGGCTGAGGCAGGAGAATTGCCTGAGCCCGGGAGGCGGAGGTTGCGGTGAGCCAAGATCGCGCCATTGCACTCCAGCCTGGGCAACAAGAGCAAAACTCCGTCTCAAAAAAAAAAAAAAAAAAAATGTAGGTTTGACACTTGTCAAGTAAACAAGTCAATGACAAATATGAGACCCTGAGGTATTTCTATCTCCAAAACAAGTTAGGTTAAACTATGGCAAGTTTCATGTGCAATATTAAGATAAACACAGCAATAAAAACCTCCTTGTGCAGTTAAGAAATTGAATAGCGTCACGAAAAATATTCAAAGGAACTGAAAACCATTTGAAAATCTGACTGAAAAAACTTATGAATACAGGAATAAACTGTATTTCATCTATTTTAAGGTATCCTTTTTTCACACATTTTATTTATTTTTCTTTTTTTGAGAGAGTCTTGCTCTGTCACCCAGGCTGGAGTGCAGTGACACAATCTCGGTTCACTGCAACCTCTGCCTCCAGATTCAAGCGATTCTCCTGCTTCAGCCTCCCAAGTAGCTGGGATTACAGGCACATGCCACCACACCTCGCTAATTTTTGTATTTTTAGTAGAGAAAGGGTTTCACCATGTTAGTCACGCTGGTCTCGAACTACTGACCTCAAGTGATCCCCCTGCCTCGGTCTCCAAAAGTGCAGGGATTACAGGCATGAACCACCACGCCCAGCCACACACTTTAGTATCTGAAGTCAGAATAGTCAATCACCCGATTTTATGTCAAGTTACTGCAGAGAGTTACTTTTCCCCTCATCCAAGAGCACTATGAATTGAGAAAACCTGGAATTCTTGCCCCAAGGTTTCTTTGGACACTACAGGCAGTACAAATTCAAACTGTGAACTTGAATCAGTACTAATTTACACTTCAAATTCTCAGGGAAGGTTGTTTGTATCTTTACTGTCCACTCACTGCAAAGGTTGGGATGTGGACATTTGCTCTCTGTCCCTTTCTGTGGAAATGCCTACTTCCCATTCACATACTTTAATATAAAGGGTGTAGCCTTTCAGTTTTCCAAACTTTGTAACAGGGCCCCACTTTCCTTTCCCGTCAGTGAGACATAAAATAATGATGCATCTTAAAACTGACAGCATCTTATAATTAATTAAATATGATAAATCGAAACTGCTTCTCTCTAGTATAATGATAAAATGTAACAACAGCAAATATTAACCATTAATTTGCTATATTAAACAAATAAAGAAAATAAAAATGAGGTTATAAATACCTGTCATTTGTATACACTCTCAAAAGTCTTCTATCAAAATCACTTTCATATCTAAACCTCTCATCCATTTCTTCACTTACTTCAGGATCTTGGTCTGGTCTATGATACTGTCTATCAAAAACACAATCCTCATTAAGTCTGTGAAATCTTCTATCTGGAATGCCAGTCTTGCTTGCAAACCTTTGATGTTTTAGGTTGGAAATGCCCACTTCTTCATTTGCTTTTTTAATAATTCTATTCCTCAATTCAGTTTCATCATCTAGTTGTCGGTATCTGTCCTCCTCTAGTCTTGGGTTCAGAAGTTCTTCATATGCCTCTGAAGGAGTTAAGACATCTCTTCTAAGACCCTCTGAATTTTCACAAGATGTCTGTATTTGTGAAGTTAAATCAGGCTTAACTTGACCAACAGGTTTTTTATTTCTTTGACTCTTGGGCTGTTCAATTAAAAAAAAAAAAAAGAAAAGAAAAGAAACAAAACTTGATGGGAAACCATCTCTTACAAGGTAATTAAACCCTCAATTTATACTTACTCTATCATGTCAACTCTTAATGTTTGTTTAATCAACCATATTTTTTTTAGAAGAAAACTTCAAGAAAATTCTACTTTTCTGTGGCCAGGTGTGGTGGCTCACACCTGCAATCCCAGCACTTGGGGAGGCTGAGGTGGGTGGATTGCCTGAGGTCAGGAGTTCAATACCACCCTGGCCAACATGGTGAAATCCCATCTCTACTAAAGATACAAAAAATTAGCCAGGCATGGTGGCACACACCTGTAGTCCTAGCTACTCAGGAGTCTGAGACAGGAAAATCACTCGAACCCAGGAGGTGGAGGTTGCAGTGAGCTGAGATTACACCGCTATGCTCCAGCCTGGGCAATAGAGCAAGACTCTGTCGCAAAAAAAAAAAAAAAAAAAAAAAAGTGGGGGGAAATTTTACCTTTCAATAAAACTTATTTGTATCAGTAGACAAACAACAGTAAAATTGATAAGTGCTATAAAAAGAGAAGTTAAACTAAATGCAAATTCCTATCCCAAGAGATACTACTTCAAAATATTTCAAATTAAATTCTCAACACAAAGGATATAGAAAGTGGTAAATGTTTTGGCCCTAGAAATATCAATCATCCTTAATGCTTGTTTGTTTGTTTGTTTCCGGACAGAGTCTTGCTCTGTCACCCAGGCTGGAGTGCAGTGACACAATCTCAGCTCACTGCTACCTGCACCTCCCAGATTCAAGCAATTCTCCTGCCTCAGCCTCCCAGGTAGTTGGGATTACAGGTGCCTCCCATCACATCTGGCTAATTGATCCTTAAATTTTGAAAAAAGAAATATAGCTAGAAATTATCAACACAAAAACTTATTTAAATGTTTAAAAATAAATGAAAATCACTTAACAAAACTGGTCTCTAAAATTAAATCTCCCCAACCAAATGTTAAAAGGTAGAGTAAGTTCTTCAATGTGAGATAAAACAACTTCCAAAACTAAATATTTAAATGCCCTGTGTTTGGTTTAATTTGGCTTAATTTTGCAAGTATTTACAAAAAAAATAAGTAAAATGTCTAAAACAGAAAAACCTTTTCAAGTACAAAACATTCAATCTGTGGTAGTAAAGATTTACTTTAAAAGCAAAACCCACCTCAGTACTTTTTTCCACCTGTCTGAACTTTTCACTGGACTCTTCCTTACCCCTGAGAAACTGATTGTATTCTTTGTTACGTTCAAGTTTCAACCTTTCCTTAAAATAAAAATAAAAAGGCAATGTTAACTTCAACTTGAGGAAAAAAATACCTTAATCCCATACCAGAATGTCAAATCTGAATCATACAATCAGAACTCTTACTCAGAATCAAGCTTTACTAATAATTTCAAGGACAGAAGTCACTGAAAGGTATGGGAGAAGTGGGAAGAGGTTTGAAGACAACCATACAGCTCCCCAGGTCTTTCTTGTCACATGATAATATGCATAGCTATATGCTTTGGTCCATTAATACAAGAGGTCTCTAATAGAAGAGAGTTGCTTTGTATATGAAACACCTCGATTTTATACTCCAATAGTTAACAGAGCTTAGATGACATTTTCCAAAGAGCCATGCCATATAAATCCACAGATTCCAGGTTTGATTACCAATCCTAGACAAACCGAGTGTATTTTGCCAAAGGCATTCAGAGATAAATCTCTCCCACTAGTAAATATAATGAATGTGTTTGCCAGAAGATCTGTCATTAGCATGTTTCCAAAGAGGTATTATGTGGTTACCTTCCTTCTTTCCTTCTCAGGGACACCTCGCTTCTCCTAATGCCTCAACCCACTCCTCCAAAGCACCTGCTGCTAATCATTTCCTTTCCAGGGTTAACAAAGGATCCTTCATATTTTAAACTTAAAAAGGCACAATTATCATAGATTCTAATGAAATATTCTGTTAAAACACAAATACACAAGATTAGAAAATGTTCTTCAATTTTAATACTTCCCGTGTCACTAAAACAACACGATCTAAAAATGTATTAAAAAAATTAGGTCTGTCTTTCGAAATTTATTAACCATCCATTTTGTCTTATATACTATTTCATGATGTCTGATATACCCTGGTAAGAACTGAGTCTCTACAAGAGGTGTACAGTGCTTTATCACTTTCATCTCTAAGGAATATGGAGTGACATTCGAAGAACTCTTACCCTCACCCTGCATAATAAAAGCTCACTATAATCTCACATCCACTCATTCTGTTACATAGCATAAACTTTACAGTCAGAAACCAATGCTGAAAAAAATGAATTCTGAGTATTCAGTTAAGTATAACTGAATACCACAAAATAATCAACATATTAAAGAAATATATAATTATAAATAAAACAGGCCGGGCGCGGTGGCTCACGCCTATAATCCCAGCACTCTGGGAGGCCGAGGCGGATGGATCACGAGGTCAAGAGATCGAGACCATCCTGGTCAACATGGTGAAACCCCATCTCTACTAAAAATACAAAAATTAGCTGGGCATGGTGGTGCACGCCTATAGTTCCAGCTACTCGGGAGGCTGAGGCAGAAGAATTGCTTGAACCCAGGAAGTGGAGGTTGCAGTGAGCCGAGACCGCGCCATTGCACTCCAGTTTGGATAAAGAAAGCGAAACTCTGTCTCAAAATTAAAATAAAATAAAATTAAAATTAAAAATAAATCGCCGGGCGCGGTGGCTCAAGCCTGTAATCCCAGCACTTTGGGAGGCCGAGGCGGGTGGATCACGAGGTCCAGAGATCGAGACCATCCTGGTCAACATGGTGAAACCCCGTCTCTAATAAAAATACAAAAAACTAGCTGAGCGTGGTGGCGCGTGCCTGTAATCCCAGCTACTCAGGAGGCTGAGGCAGGAGAATTGCGTGAGCCCAGGAGGCGGAGGTTGCGGTGAGCTGAGATCACGCCATTGCACTCCAGCCTGGGCAACAAGAGCGAAACTCCGTCTCAAAAAAATAAATAAATAAATAAATAAATAAATAAACCAAAAAAAAAAGAAATATGTAATTATATGGTTACAAATGTGTTCAAAAAAAAAATTTAAACAGCATAAACGTGACTCCACGGATTTTTGAAAAAGAAATACATTCACGTATGGGGGAATGATGTGATCTTCCATTTGCATTTAAATCAACAGTATGTTCTTTTATCATTTTCATGCCTCGGAAAACTGCTACCCACAATAACTACTCCCATCCACCTACCTTAGCAGATAACCTCTCACCAATAGGAAGAGAGACTCCCAGAGTAGATGGATCTGTTTCACTCGTAGATAGAAAATTTTTCTGTAAATATACACATTAAAAAAAATTACCTAATTGCCTTTATAAAATGTTGCATAAATATCTTTGCATTTTATATTCTAAACTAGTGTTACACTATGCAGAGCAAAAGAATGAAATGGAATGAAGACAGAAACTACAAATCTATTATAGACCATACCAAAAGCAATTGGAAAAAAGAGCATTTTCTTCCAATCAACAACTCCCTGAAAGGGAAAATCAGGCCTTAATTTTCATTTGCTATATATATATGTCTATTGATTCAAGATGATTAGAAGCATGAAAAAAAGAAAACTGTCCTAATTTATATTCGTCTTCTAAGCACACAGTCTTCATTATCAGTGCTCTATTGTCTTTTTATTCTCAAGGCAAATTTAAACTTCCTCACAAATATCTTAATGCATGCCACAATTTTTTTTCTATTTTTCCTATAATTATATGAGTGAATATCTACTGAAATATCAATAGATATAACTATGAATGTTGTTTATGTGTTCCTCCATTTGAGTTCATTAAGCATTTAAGTAATGCAGTGTAGCAGAGGCAGCATTAGACTAACAGTCAAAAGACCTACGATCTATAACTAGTCCAAGCACTTAGCTGTGTAACACTGAGCAAGTCACTTAACTTTTCTGACAAACACTTTCTTCTTCTGTAAAATGAGAATAGTACCTGCTCTGCCTACCTACCAAAGCTGGCATAAGGATGAAGGAGGATTAAAAACTATAAAATCCCTTTAAAGCTCTAGAGCAAATACAAGGGACTGGAAAAAAAAATGCATGTGATCCCCAACTGGTAAAAAATATATATATGTATGATCCTTAACTTTCTGGTACTGCTACTTAGTAGTCAAATAATTTGGAATAAGTTACTTCCTTTCACTTTGGTTTCCTCGTCAGTAAAACACAAATAATGCCATCTACACATCACTGGATTATAAGGATTAAATCAATCAATACTTGTCAACCTGTCTAGCTCCAAGCCTTTTATTTATTCATTAAACAAGCAATTAGCAACCATCTAATACTTTGCAGGTATATTTTCCCTATATTCAAGAGATTTACAATTCAGCTGCAGAAACAGACATGTAACCACATAACCATAAAACAATGTATTAACTACTACAATAGTGTTGTATTCAAAACATTATGGAAAGAGAGTGATTAGCAAAACTAAGTTTTTAATAAAGTTTCACTAAAAATGGTCAGACACGGTGGCTCATGCCTGTAATCCCAGCAGTTTGGGAGGTTGAGGCAGCACTTGAGCTCAGGAGTTCAGATCAGCCTAGACAATAGGGTGAAACCCTGTCTCTACTAAAAACACAAAAAATTAGCTGGGCATGGTGCCATGCACCTGTATTCCCAGCTACTCAGGAGGCTGAAGCAGGAGAATTACTTGAAATTGGGAGGCGGAGGTTGCAGTGAACCAAGATTGGCACCACTGCACTCTAGCCTGGGTAACAGAGCCAGACTCTGTCTCAAAAATAAATAAAATTTAATTAAATCTGAATTTACAAATGAATTGTGCTACAAAAGCTAATTTGAAAGTTGGCTGTATGAAACTCTAAACTTATTTGACAAGGAAAAACTAAGACATATGACCAGACCACTGAGTGAGATTACCTCCTATATACTGAAGTACACTATAAACCTAATCATTTTGAAGAGTTATAAATGCATGAAAAACCCCATAGTTCCAATCCCAGGAAGATAGATTTAACATCCTTACTCCTTCATCCTTCACTGTGCAATTTCCCATTCCAAACATGGGTCAAGAATCATGTTTGAAATTTTCAATAAAATGAAAAAAATAATCAATAACAACAACATAAGCTGGGAATGGTGGCTCATGTCTCTAGTCCCACCACTTTGAGAGGCCAAAGCAGGAGGGTTACTTGAGCCCAAGAGTTCTAGACCAGGTGGGGTTTTTTTAATTACCCTGTACTTACCAAAAAAAAAATTTTTAATTAAAAAAAAAAGAATAACATAGTAAGTTTTTTCAAAAAGCTAAATTTTAATCACTCATTCATTCCTTCAATAAATACTGAGTGCCTACCATATGCCCAAACTCTCTGATACATTTGGGACAGAAGGAAACAGATAAAGATTCCTGCCCTCCAAAAGCATATATTCAAGCTGGGAAAAATGAAAAGAAATAATAAACATAATGAGGAGTAATTACACAGCATGCTAGAAAGTAATAATTACTGTGACAAAAAAAGAAATTAAAAGGACAGGCTACAGCTAGCGTAGGTTTATCAGGCATGAGGGTGGGAAAAACAGAAATCAGTAATTCTCTTTTGGATATGATCTACATAAGATATTAGGTAGATTTCAAAGAGAAAATGTGATTTATGCAGCCAGCTAGAAAAGTCTGAAGTTCAGGAGAGAGGTCTAGGCTGGAAATATTACTTAACTGACTCTCCTGAGAACTGTTCTCCTGAGAACATCTTTTCTGTGTTTAGATGGTCAAGCATATTTTATTATAAAAACAAGAAAGCATTTCTAGGCAGGAAGGGCTCAGGAAAAAAAAATTTTAATTAAAACACGAAAGAAGATGGTGGTTGTTTTAATAACTCTTCTCGGCAAAATTAAAAAATTTGTTTTTTATTTTTTAATTCAAATATCCATGCAATCCAAGTCTGGAAGCCACAAGAGATACAGGAGTAGGACTTGGAAACCATACATATTTCAGGGGGTCCAGGAAGCTTAGCCACTTCCCTATACCCTGTGTAGTTTTCTTTTTCTCTTGTTTTCCCTTCTACTTTCATCTTCTCAAATGTAAACAAAAAACTGTCTCTCATGTTAAGAAAATACTGCTCCTCTATATGACTATGTTCTTAATAATCTAGAAAACTGGCTGGGCTCGGTGGCTCATGCCTGTAATCCCAGCACTTTGGGAGGCCAAGGCGGGCAGATCACAGGTGAGAAGTTCAAGACCAGCCTTGTCAATATGGGGAAACCCCATCTCTATTAAAAAGACAAAAAAAGATTTTAAAAAATTAGCCAGGCATGGCCACAGACATCTGTAGACTCAGCTACTTGGGAGACTGAGGCAGGAGAATCACAAGAATCCAGGAGGCAGGGGTTGCGGTAAGCTGAGATCGTGCCACTGCACTCCAGCCTGGGCAATGGAGCAAGACTCCAGCTCAAAAAAAAAAAAAAATCTGAAAAATGCCTTCACATCTCTTTGAATTTAAAGATTTGTACTTTCATGAAGGCAATTTCTTCTTACGGCCCCCACCACTATCCCTTCTATAAATCTTACCTAGGGAGTTATCCAAAACCTACAAGTGAAAATGGCTTATATGTGATACCAGAGGAAAACTCCACCCAAGAAGAGGAGGTAGGGAAGGGGAGGATAATGAGGTATAAGCACAGGAAGTAAGGTTGGAACACGAAAGACATGTACCATGCTAAGTAATGTGAATTTTTATTCTGGAGGAAGTAAGAAGATACTGACATATTTAAATAAGCTAGGGACAGAATCCTTCTGGAAAATAGCTTGCAGGAGAAAATGAAAATTAGCTCAAGGAAATCAGTTAAGTTGTAGCAGCAATTTAAGACAATAAGATGAGAGTCTCTACATGCAGAACTAACTATCCTAAAACACAGTTATGCTCTTCACAGACTATTTAAGAAAATATAACGTTCATCATTACCTATTACATAAAATAAGTTAAAAATCTACTGCCTTCCAATTTGATCCTATCCTATATACATTGTTATTTCTTACTACTATTAAAAAGAACGATACCCTGACCCAGTATGGTAAACCTAATATTCCTCAATCATACAAAGCTACAGTCTACCCTCTAGGTCCTCTTTTACTCGATGCTCTCCATCTGAAAAGCTTTCTTGCTTCGATTTTCTCTCTAGATCATCCAAATCTAGATTGCCTTACAAAAGAGAAACACCCACTATGAGGATTTTCTTGATCATTATCTCCTTCTTCTTGTAGTTACCACTTTCTGAATTGTATGAATGTTATCTCTACAACTAAGTCCCAAGCCTCTTGAAGACAGGATCCATACCTGATACATCTATATATATGTTTAAAATATGTTAGTTGAATGGTCAATCTGTGAGCTTATTTTTAAAACCAGTTTTGTAAAACCATAAAATTGTTTCTCTTTGTTTTCCAATATAAATGTGCAAATGCAATTTATAGATTTTGGTGCAAAAACAGAGTAATCCAAATTCTGACAACATGTAGTTTAAGAATCTTAAATATTCTACTATTCTATTAATCTTACTGTGACTAGTATAATTTGAGAAACAAAAAATTACATGCTGAAAACAGACTTAACTGCAGAATATTAATAAAGAATGCATAAGAAAGCAATAAACACAAATGCAAAGCAGGAATCAAAAGCAATTACTATATGAAAGGAAAATTATAATGTGTACACTATCATCTTGCTAAAAGCAAGAATACAAAATGATACCCCTCAATTATCTCAAAATCACAAATGAACCTATTTTTCTAATTGGTCTGAATCTCATAATGCAAACAATTGCAAGCTACTAGATTATTAAAAAGAAAGAGAACAAGAGAGAAGCAGAAAAAACTAAAGAAAAACATTCTGCAGATGACCCTACCTTTCTTTTCACTTGTGTTATGCCCTAAAGTCAAGGGAAACAAACCATTGACAAAGTGTATTCAGTCAAAGTTCATTCTATGTGTAAATCACAATAAATAAGAGACAATTTGTACATTTGGAACAAACATAAAGCAGTAAAAAAAATAAAGAAAATTATTTTAAACAATCATGACGTCTTGTTGTCATCTCAAGGTGACAAGACATCATCATGATTGTTTAAAATAATTTTATAACCTAAAAAGTAGAAGTATATTTTAAAACTTAAGATAAACCATTACTTTGGCTATTACATAATTTAACAAAAACACTTAAAACAAGAGTTCTGCTAAGTAAAACATGAGATCATAATACAAAAGCTTTAGTGGCTAAATAATTAAATGAAATTTTATAAGCTTGACTCACAGGAAAATAATTAGCAACTAGAACCCCACATGTCATTTTAATACATAGTTGGGGGGTATAGAAGAGTGGGAAACCATGACTGGATTACTTCAAACCATGAAACTTTACAGAAAACATGAAAAACCATAATTAACAATCTCACTTAAAATTAGAATACATTGCCTTGGTCCAAAGGTCAAGAGTCTGTTATTCTACGGCACCAGTTCTCAGCAACATTTTTTTCTCTATCAGTGTCATATATGACTATACTACTACTTTGCTAGTACCACTGAAAATCTAAAAAATAGCACATATGACTAACAACCTTATGAACACAAATTTAGGAGCCGAATCCTAAAAACATGAAACCCAACTCCTTAATAGAATGCATTACCTGAGTAAGATAACGTCTATAATCTTGCCGCAATTCTTCTTTTAATTTATTTTTCTTCCGCTCATAGTCTTCCCCAAGTGGTAAACTTAACCCATAATCAATCCCTAGATAAAGAAAACAACTTCTTAGTATATTTCATTTTCAAACCAATATCAAAGTTCTACTTCTTGTAACAAAGCACAGTTAAGAAGGAACACAGTTATGCTAATTCCGAGACTAGGATTAGAGTAAGTTTTTTACTTAAAATATCTCGATGGATGATACATTCACATAATCAAAAATATTATCAAAAATATCATTCTCACCCATGAACCCTAGCCACCCTGTTCTCCTGTCCAGAACAACAAATATTGTTATTTCTTCTGTCTCCATGCAGAGAATGTTTTAATGCACCTATAAACAGACACTTTTATATTATTATATACATATTTATATGCATGTGTGCATTATATTTACTTTTTCCCCCAGTTAAGATAAATAATCCAGCACTGTTTGGCACCTTTCTCAAGAACAGCAAAATTAAAGAAAAGCTAATTATCTTTACTTCTTCACTTCATTATACACTAATTTCTATAAAAATAAATACCAACAATTTTAATGCATCATTTTCAGCCTAGAAAAACTAATAACATGATTGTTTTAGCATACAAGAGTATCTTTAATATAACATGTTTCTGAGAAAAAATTAATAGGGCCATGTGTTGCTTGGGATGACTTTTAATTTTCTTTTTATATCAAAGAGCATTCAAGTAGGATGAAATTTCTAAAAACTTCAAAACTTAAACCAATTCTGATTTCATAAAATTTGTTATTAATTTTTATTGTGGTAAAAGATATATAATATAAAACTTACTATTTTAATCATTTTTAAGCATACAGTTCAGTGGCATTAAGTACATTTACGACGTTGTACAACCATGATCACTAACCATTTCCAGAATTTTTTCATCATCCCAAACAGAAACTCTGTAAATGGATGTTAATTATTGAAGAAAAACTTCAAATTTGAGTAGCATTTCCTTACACAAAATTCAAAAATCAAATTACATTTAGGGATGATGACGATAACTGTACAACTTGTAAATATACTAAAAACCATTGAATTGTGCACTTTAAATACGTAAATGTTACGGTATGTAAATTGTATCTTAAGAAAGCTATTAAAAATCAAATTATATACTTTTCAAATCTTCAAAAGTATAATACTATGTCAAGAAGCATAGACACCAGATAAGTAGTGAGATTTCTGAAGTCTCTTCCCTTTTTTAGCCCTTTTATACACATAATACTATAGTATGAAAAAATTATCATTTCTAAACAAAATAAAACTTGTCTTTTTTTTTTTCTTTTGAGACAGAGTCTTGCTCTGTCACCCAGGCTGGAGTGCAGTGGCATGATCATGGTTCACTGAAGTCTCAACCTCCTGGGCTCATGCAATCCTCCCACCTCAGCCTCCTGAGTAGCTGGGACTATAGGCGTGCGCCACCATGCCTGGCCAAAACTTTCCTTAAAAATTCTGCTACGAGCAATATAGACGAAATAATTTGACTGTAGTTTGTAGACTGCTATAAAAATCACTGTTTTCTGCCTTATTTCTCACAATGTAGCTGAATGGAACTTAACATGAATGTGTCATATCACTGCTTTACTACATCACTGAAATATTTCAGGCAGGGAAAAGGCCAGCGTAATATAAATGTAAGTGGATGTTTATGGATTCTTACAAAATACTAAAATCCACTTACCCCTGTAACACTGGAATTCTCTTGATAAACATTTCTGGCCTATTTAATTCCTTGAGCTATGACAGCAGGTATAACAGAGGATTCCCCAGGGACATCCCTTACACATGCTTCTAAATCTCTTCCAAAAGAAACTAAAGCATTCCATATCCTTGGAATTTTAAATCATCCTAGAAAGGAACCGTTTCCTCTCAAAGGAATCCAAACCTTATTTTTAAAGATACAGAATTTAAACCTAAGGAGAGAAATAGTTTTGATTCTCATGTTCAGAATGGAGAATCACATATAAAACTAAACTTATAAAATCTGTGAAGGCAAGGCCATGCACTATTCAATTTTATAATCCTGGCACATAACTTTAACTCAAGAAAATTTTCATCAAACAAATCTGCAAATGAATGTATGAATGAGTGCCTAAGCAAGAGGAAGAAATGAGAAAAGGTAGGGGGAAACAATATACTATACTTAGTATTTCTGCTGTTAGCGGTCTGACTGCATAGAGAGAGGTAGTAAGCAGTTACATATTACCAGTCACACAGGGTCACAATGATGTTCTGTTGTGCCAAGGAGAAAAAGACAACAATGCTGACAGGATGATGCCTCCCAACACACTGCCATCCCATCCAGGAACAAGCAATTTACATTTACAAATTTACGAAAAGCCCTGTGTTTAAGGTAGCTTTTCCTGCTGTTTTTCAAATGTATTTGGTAGGTTTATGTGGAAGAATAAAAAGAAAAATGTAATTCATTTTCATTTAAATTATTATTATTATTATTATTATTATTATTTTGAGGCAGAGTCTCACTGTCGCCCAGGCTGCAGTACAATGGTGTAATCTCGACTCACTACAACCTCCGCCTCCTAGGTTCAAGTGATTCTCCTGCCTCAGCCTCCCGAGTAGCTGGGACTACAGGCATCCGCCACCATGCCCAGCTAATTTTTCTATTTTTAGGAGAGATGGGGTTTCACCAAATTGGCCAGGCTGGTCTCGATCTCCTGGCCTTGTGATCCACCTGCCTTGGCCTCTCAAAGTGCTGGGATTACAGAGGTGAGCTACCATGCCTGGCCTATGATTCATATTAAGTTCAATTTTTATTTACTAAGAGTATTTGCTTTTCACTATTAATTCAAATAGTACTGTAAAACTGTCTTAACAGACAAGTAACAACATATAATGCCTTCTGAGTTATCTATAACTTTATTAATTTAATGTTTGGTCAACAGAGAACACTAACTTTTTAATTCTTATTTTTGTCATCTTGTAACAACATTTTATAGCATTAGAGGTAAGTCATAGATATAAAATTAGAAACTGTACAGAACAATATAAATATCCTATTCTTTTAAACCATGCATTAACAGTGGCATCTCAATTGGCTTAATGAGTTAAGCAATACAGTGAGGCTTACTTATTGTGCTGTTGTCTTCTGGTAGATCTAGTAGCAAGTAAAGCATTCATGTCATTTTAGGGTCATCTGAAGTGATGTCACTTCATCAAGTATAACATCAATGACCCTAAAATAATTAACACTATGCTTCAAAACTATAGTTAATTGGAAGCATTTGCTTTCTATAGCAGTTATGGCTTACATAAAATACTTAAGACTAAAGTATATAACTTCTTTATAATTAATTTACCTTCTAACAGAGCATTCATCATAATTGTGAAACAAATTACTGGGGAACATTTACTTTCTTTTCAGTATTATACTACCATGAAAAAACATCATGTAAAAATAATCAAAGGACAAATTTAAGGAAATAATGATAGGCCTTTACATAATGGGTGACTTACAAGGAGATGTGACTAATTGAGGAGACGGTGTACTCTTTTTTTTTTTTTTGAGACGGAGTTTCGCTCATTACCCAGGCTGGAGTGCAATGGCGCGATCTCGGCTCACCGCAACCTCCGCCTCTTGGGTTCAGGCAATTCTCCTGCCTCAGTTTCCTGAGTAGCTGGGATTACAGGCACGTGCCACCATGCCCAGCTAATGTTTTGTATTTTTAGTAGAGGTGGGGTTTCACCATGTTGACCAGGATGGTCTCGATCTCTTGACCTTGTGATCCACCCACCTCAGCCTCCCAAAGTGCTGGGATTACAGGCAGTGTACTCTTAAATTTCCACTAAAAGGTATTACTACAAGGACCCATTTGACTTATACAAACTGAATAAAAAAGGAAGAAAAGTATGTGATTTAGTTTACAATAGGATAAATCTAAGACAAAGCGGAATGATAATTAAAACTACAAGGCCGGTGCTATGAGTCAAGCCTGTAATCCCAGCACTTTGGGAAGCTGCGGTGGATGGATTACTTGAGGTCAGGCGTTCGAGACCAGCCTGGCCAACATGGTGAAACCCTGTCTCTATGAAAAACACACAAAAAAGTAGCTGGGTGTGGTGGCAGGCACCTGTAATCCCAGCTACTTGGGAAGCAGAGGTTGCAGTAAGCCGAGATCGCACCATTGCACTCCAGTATGGGCAACAGAGCAAGACTCCATCTCAAAACAAACAATTATAACTACAACTATCCATATGCAGTGGCATAAACCTACAGTCTCAACTACTCAGGAGCCAGTGAAGGGCGGACTGCTTGAACTCAGGAGTTCAAAGCCATCTTGGGCAACATACCAAAGTGCTATCTCCACAAAAAAATTTTAAAAATTAGTTGGGCGTGGTAGCCTGAGCCTATAGTCCTAGCTACTGGAGAGGTTGAGAGAGGAAGGTCCCTTGAGCCCAGGACTTATAAGCTACGGTAAGCTATTACGGTGCCACTGAACACTAGCCTAGATGACAGAGTAAGATCCTCTCCTTTAAAAAAACTGGGGGTGGGAAGTAACTATATGTTTTATGACCTTCACAAATTTGTATCAAAACATTTCAAAAGATTAATGGAAGCATTTAAAAGATTAATGGAAGTATTTCTCAATAATACTGGTTATTGTTAATCAATAACAGTAACGGTTAAACACAATGATCAGTAAGAATTTATTTTAATGAAATAAACACAAATATAATGCCTACAAACAGTTTAGGGAGATAAAAGATCTTTTATAGATCACTTTTAGGTGACTTTCTCTTAATTTAATATTACTAATATCTGAGTTATTCTGATAAACTCCTAACTAAAGACTAAAGACATTGTTTCATCAGTTTATGTGAACGAAATCATGTACATGCTATGTGTAATAAAAAAAATTTGGACTATTACTTTCTCTAGGCTTGGAAAAGAAAAAAGAAAAAAAAAAAACAAAATTGGATGGCCTCTGTCTCCAGTTCCTAGGAGGAACCTCTAAATCCTTAAAATTTTTCCAGACAATGGGAATGCCTTTATTATTCATAATGGGTACCTTGGACCACACC